ATTATCATTTTGACTTTAGAAAGTAAAGTACAAGGAAAATAAAGTTGTCATTATGAGCTAAGTTTTCAAGTTCAAACAGTCCAGTGACGTGTATGTATGTATATATGTTTAACAAAGTATGCAAATCTTTCATTCAGCAGTTTCACCCAGGACAGGGATACCTAACCTTACCTTTGTTAAACATTTACAAGGATAAATATAATTAATCTTACCAAGGTTAAACATCTAGGAAAGTAAACCCAGAGGGATACTTAACCTTTTGTGGTTAAACAACTTGCACTCATGAGTTTCTGATCGTTTGACCTTTATATACTTCAACATTTTTATTATTTTGATATGTTCACAGGAGTTCAATCATATTTATTCAATAATAAATGAATACGAATTTCTTAGTTTTAATGTAGTTACAAAATGAAAAAGAATACTATATAATTTTAGTATTGTTTCGGATTGTGTGATGCATATTTTAATGTGATATCGTGCTGTTTTTTAGGTATTTCTACCAACAAAATATCAAAGTTAGTTTGATAACTTCTGAGTAGTAGTATCCTATGTTTCATTATGCATTTTATATCATAATTCTAGCCAAACTGCTCTGTGTGCATACTGTTATAATGGAATCTGTTTTACTGTGTGTGTACACAGTAATCATAATGTTAATTGTTTTATTATGCACTTTGTAAACAATGAAGGATTTTCTTTTAGTGTTTGGAAAGCCAACTGGAGTGTAAAATATATTGTGCTAACAAATGTTAGTCAACAGTGAACCCCATGTATTTTATTTGGATGTTCAGTAATTTGCCAGGACAAACGTTTATTAAAGGGGTCTCTGAAGAAGCTGTCACAGTAAAATATTGGACATCTGTTTAAAATCTTTGGAGTGTATGGTCATAATATACATGTTAATAGTGCATGTAAAAGTCTTAATGAATCAAGAGTATTGTGAAAAATATGGATCTTAATGAGTATTAAACAGAATTTTTGTGTCAGGAATAGATTCTACAATAAAACTAAAGGATTGGTTACGAAAAGAAAGGTACTTACAATAGTGTTACAATTACAAGGGCTTTCCCAAGTCAGGATTTACTAATAACAGTCAGTTTTAAGAATGAATTATGCAGTTTGTGTGCATCTCAGTCTACCTTAATAGTAGCAAATTAATAACAAAAGTTCTTCAACGACATTGTAAGCACTGCCCAGAACAAATACTCTTATATTATGAATAATCTTTTGTAGATTCTAGTTTGTGCACTTGTGGACAGAGAGAGAGAAAATTAGATGGTCAATGAAAGAAAGGAAACCTTTCAGAAAATTAGTCACAAGATTATGGCTCTTATGTGACTCTCTCAGCTTTATAGTCACAAGTTTATAGTTATGTAGTGTTATCTGTACAAGTGTTGTTTTTGTAAGTCATTCAGCTCTGTAGTCACATGTTTATTGTTGTTATTAGTCACAAGTTTGTAGTTATTGCATAGTGTTATCTGTACTAGTGTTGTTTAGTGAATTTTCAGCTATGTCATCACAAGTTTGTAGTTAGGTAGTGTTATCTGTATAACTGTTGTTTTTGTGACTCTTTCATTTCTGAAGTACAAGTTTGTAGTTGTTTATGTAGTGTTCAACTGAATGAGAAGGAGCTTAGCTGCTTTTACAATAGTAGTAGTGTTGAAGCAGATGTTTTTTAACGAATCATATTGATGCTTCATTGGAAGCACTAAGTGAGAAATATCATCTGATGTAGTTTAGTGAACTCATGTCATGATAAAAGTTTTCTTATGATGTTAAAATCACCGAGACGTGAAGAGTTCAAGATGTTCCGCTTGATGAAGATAAGAATCTGTTGTTGAATGTGGTTTACCTTAGTGTAAAACAAGGGAGTTATCTAAACAACAGGTGAAAAAATAGTGTGCATGTTTTCACACCTGCTACTGAAATAGTGTGTACAATTTGAAAAATGAAATACTTCAATTCTTATGTGCCAGGATAAAGTGGGTTTAGTACACTGTAATCCACAACTGTATTGTTGTTGCTGTATGTCATACAAGCATATTTGTTGTTTTGTTATTGTGCATCTTTATTTCTGTGGTGTCTATATCTATCTTGTATACAAAATCTTATGTTAATGCCCCCCCCCCCTTTTTTGTCCATTGTAATTACTGCTCTACCCTGTATTGACACTGAAAGAGGACATTTGAGATGAAGGAAATGAGGTGTAACGGAGTTTCATGCAGGTTGATTCTGTGTATATAACAGAATACAATCTGTGGATTTTGATCATTCATATACATGTATTATAATGGTAACTGATTTATTCGTTTAACAGTATAAGCAGAAAGTTCATAGTGATGCTGGTTGAGATATTGTTAGTGTGTACTAACAACAAAGGCCTGTATAAGGGTAAGCAGAAAGTTCATAGTGATGTTGTTTGGGATATGTTTAGTGTGTACAACACCAGAGGCCTGTACAAGGGTAAACAGAAAGTCATAGTGGTGTTGGTTGGGATATGTTTAGTGTGTACAACACCAGAGGCCTGTACAAGGGTAAACAGAAAGGTCATAGTGGTGTTGGTTGGGATATGTTTAGTGTGTACAACACCAGAGGCCTGTACAAGGGTAAACAGAAAGTTCATAGTGATGTTGGTTAGTATAGGATGGAAAATCCAGTGATTTAGCAGTAAGTATGAGGGTTTTTAATGCTAAAAATTGGGCTTTGATACTTCTGTTGGGCACAACAAAGATAGCCCACTGTGTAGCTTTCTGCCCAATAACAAACAAACAAGTATATTGTGGATGTTCCTCAACATCAGAGGCTCATACAGATGTAAGCACAGACATCATAGTGGCATTGAATGAGATGTTTTGGGTGTGTTCCACCATCAGAAAGATATACAAGGGGAATTTGGAAGTTCATTATTGTGATTAAGGAGTTAATATTAATGTAGCACACCCTCAGAGGATTGTACCAGGGTTTAAAAATTTTGTACAACCACAGTATTGTAATGCAGATAGAATTATATTTTACAACAAAAGTTAATACACTGTATATAAAATAAACATAAATTATTACTGTAAAACTTAGCTTATGAATTTTTTTTTGTATATAGTGTAGGACAGAGGGAATATATTATTACAGTAACA